GAAATAAATAAATAAATAAATAGTACATAATATGATTCATTAAATATAACTTCATAGACTATTTGATTGAATTTCAAATGTATTTTAGCAAACCACAATGTCTGAAAATTTTAAATGCCCTCTCTAATTAAGAGTTCCTGGGTGGTGCAAATAGTTAACACACCCAGATGCTAATCAAAAGTTCAGTGTTTCAAGTTCATCCAGATGCACATAGGAAGAAAAAGCTAGAAGTTTACTTCTGAAATATCAGCCACTTAAAACCCAACGGAAAATGATTTTGCTCTGTCACACTCAGGGTTGCCTCAAATGGGGTACTGACTGAATGGCAACTGGGTTGGTTATTTTTCTTAATTGAGTGTTAAATAACAATACTGTACAAAAAAAGAGAATAAATGAATAGATGATCTCAACCTAACTTGCTCAAATTCGTAATTTCCAAATAATATTAGTAGATTTTTTACATATGCTTTTAACCTTATCAGTTGCCAGTGTTAGAAGTGATTAACAATTAATAAACATATTCCCAACAAAGGAAATATTATTGAGCTAGAACCAAAAAAGCCTTAAAAAACAAACACCTAATTGTTCAGAAAATTAAATAGTCACACACACAATGAAAATATTTTCAAAACATCTAATTTTAGAATTAGGAAGTAATAGTAACTATAAAATAAATGTAGTCAAGGATATGTTACTTAAAGCACCAAAAGAATTACATAATTTCCATTATAATTCTTCTCCCTATCTCTACCCTTAATGAAAATAGGGAGGTGGTTCAAAGTAAATACTATACTAATGTAGAATGTTGCACAAATTCAGTAACTGTAAAGCTGTTTTACTTTAAACCAAACCAAACCAAACTCACAGACGTTGAGTTGAATCAACTCATAGCGACCCCTTCTTGGGTTTCCGAGGCCATATTTCTACGGAAGTAGATTGCCCAATAGGAGAACTAAAAATCCATAGTTATAAAAACGAACACTACTCACAATACAAGGTATTTTTATGACTATCTCAACAATGGCACCAATTTCTATATTGGAGGTGGACACAAAAATGACTTTTCCGAGACCTCGGATAAGCAAAGCACTACTGAAGAAGAAAAACAAAGTAGGAGGTCTCACATTGCCGGATCTCAAAACCTACTATACAGCCACAG